AGTGATGGTCAGTACACGTTAACTGAAGAATATTTTGTGGATAACAGCGAAGTAGACTCACTCCCAGAAGAGATTTTTACTAACCTGTCCGATGATAACAACATGTTGGAAAAAAGAATGAAAATGTTGAAGGTTTATGGTAAACCTGTGGAAAAAAAAGTGTCACGAACATACTCTTTAGTAGAAAATTCAAACAGAGAAGGACGGATAAAAAAGAATAGTAATGACGACGAATTGCTGGAAATGAGTTTTAAAGAGTGCCTGAAAATGAAAACATTTGTAGAGATTATGGCGTGCCTTGCAACCAGTGAAGTGCAAAACTTTCAGAACCGTGACGATTCTAAAACAAAAGAAAAAAATACTCAAATTAAAATTTTAACTTTAAGCAACGAAATTGAACTTCTGAAGCAGTCTGTGACAGATATAAAGAAGCTTTTGGAATGGCTAATCAGTGATGAAGACAACGATGACCCAGGAGCTGGGACCACAAAAACACCCGATTTTGAAAGAAAGACTGTGTACGAAAGCTCTACCGCTGACAGCGGTGGAGAAACTGGTGCAGTTAAGAACGACACTTCTGAAGCGCCATATAGTCGCAAAAGTAACAGCAGTTCTAAAGTTGAGCGAAGCCCCTACCAGTATCACAACGGAGTTGCTGGAACGCAAACCAAACACAGTGCCCAGTATTCGACAAAATACATTACCTCTAGGCCCTATCGTCAGCCTTTAAGCCAAGAAATTCGAAGAGACAAAAAACTGGTACAACCTTTCGTAGAGGAGAATTTGAAGAAATTGCCGTTTAAAAGTTGATCACTCCATTTCTAAAATGCAATAAGAAGAGTATATCTATCTTCTAAAAATCCAAGCTTACGTGAAAAAAGAGTCATCTTGTTTTTTTTTTTACCTCCACTACTGTTTGACAGTTCTCATCCAGTTTACGATAAGTCTGAATGAACACAGACAAGGAATAATCTTCCTCTTGTTTGAAAAAATCTGACTAATTTATTGTAAGACAACTTCCCAATAAAAGTTTTTTTAATTATTGTATTTAAACACAATTATTTATCAACAGAGTTCACAAAGTAGAGATGTATCTATTACAAACTGCACTAGAACGCTGGAAGAGCATTAAATAGATGCTTTTTCATTCCGCTAAAAATTCATTCTTAAACAAAATCTATAAAATTAACTTCCACCATTAATACAGCTAAATTATCTAATAAAAACGCAACTGCTTTTTTTTTTAGTTTTTAGAAACAGCGTAAGTTTTGGGAAATGACTTTGTAATACACAAGTTTTTGATGCAAGGAATAACAGTTGTCAAACTCTTTAGCCTTCTCAAATTCTTCCAACTTTCTAAAAGCAGACAAAGTCTAGAAGATCTACCGTAACATTGCACTTTATCGGTAAAAGGCATTTAAAATCCCCAACGACAATTACTATCAATACGGTATGCAGTCAAAAGTATGCGAATGAAAATTCCAAACAATACACTTAACATTTTCGAATGCTTAAACACACAAACTTTTTCTTACAAATTCAAAAATAAGAATAGGAAGATGCAGCATGCAGAGGATCTTTTGTAAAAAAATAATGAGTTCACTTAATTATAGTGAAAAACTAATCATGTGCGTCACTGCTGACTTTTGTTTTGTAAATTTATAATTATATAGCACTCATTACTTTTTTGTTAAAAAAATTAGAGGAATAAAGTTGAAGACGAACTCAAAGAGGTAACAAGGTCGAATTCTCTATAATTTTTACTACCAACTTATAGGTCGGATACTAAAAAAATGCACGTATTTGAGAAATAATCCAACTGTAAGGGAATGTGACGACAACGTAACTCTCTATCCAACCCAAAAAATATCCTGAAAATTACCTTCAAACGTTAAAGTAATAATAAGAAGATAATTTTTAGTCTTTTTTTATAGACATCTACTAAGAAACTAAAGTAATCCTAGAAGAAAAGTAACTGAGCCTAATAGAGTGACCAATAAATTAAAAAACCTGCAATAACATCACTAATGTAATGATGGCCCAGAATAACCCGTGAAATACCAACTACAATGGGAAATATGCTCGTTGTTAGCCACAGGAAAGTAGGCATCGGAAAGTAAGCAAAACTGAAATTCATAGATTCAGTGCAAGTCATTTTTAGAAACTCAGTGAATGCTTGAAGAAAAGTGGTCTACGTAAAGCATTTTGTGAAAATAACTGCCAATGACCTGAGATATGATAGCATATACGCTCTTGAAGTGTGTCCAGATGGAAATGAAAAATCGTCAAAAGCGTGGATAGTGAATTTCTGTAAGAAACGAATCAGATGACCAAACTAGAGTAAGAGAGTAATGTTGGAAATGTTTAGCAAAAAAATATAGTAACACTGTGACTGTCTCCTACAGTCTAAAATGTTAACAAAGACGGAGTGCACCGTAACAACTATTTTAAACCTAAAATAAATATTATCCAACTATTTGCTATAATACTGCACTAAAGTCGATATTTCATAAAAGATTTTGAGGAAATAATTGAAATTACTGAAGTGGTATAAAACTAATGTTTCATACATAAGTTCAAGGAAAAAATTCATCTCATTCAATAGCTTAACAGCCTAAAAAACTGATAAAAGTTGTTCCTAAAGAATAATTGTAATTAAGACAAAAAAGTTTGACAATCTCCAGCATCCATTTTGTACAACACTCCACGACGAAAAGAAAAAACAAAAAGAATTTGTCAGGCTTTTCTAGTTATAAAAAAACTTACATGACTTGCTTGCACAGTTCACCTATCTTACTTGCTACTGAACTGCGAGAACAATTTAAAGTGTACTGTAAAGTAACAGTTTTCCTAAAAAAGTTCCCCCTCTCATTGACAAACTTCAAACAAAGTTTTTTAAAAATCTCTCGCCAAATTTCTACCAGTTGCCCTTTTAAGAACACTTTGCGATAACATTCGCCCCAATATTTGACTTTTCTCACTTTATTTTGCACTACCCTGACTTTACTTACGCTCCGCAGGTACAGCATTGTTGGTGACCGTGGCTTCGGAAAAAACACTCTTTTGGTATTAACTGATCTATCTATGGTTGAATACTTAATGAAATCTGCATTGATGTGTAAGCAAGCAATATCATACTGCTTTCAATAATTTTCATTTGGAAAGCTCAATTATTCCAAACTTTGCAGGAGGAATACAATACTTGCCAAAAACCAAATACTATTGTATATTTCGCACAAAACCGTTTTTTTCTTCAATATTTCCAACCATTCCTTCAACAATAGAAAAACGTTTCTTCTTTATTAAAGATGCAACTCAATAGCCCAAACTGTGTTTCAAGAACAAATCTCAGATGATATTCTTAAGAAAAGAAAAAAAGAGTTCCACAATCAATGCATCTAAAACTCCATTTGATAAAAAACAGTTTGTTTGAAATGCTTATTTCTTCCTCTACGTTCGTCACAGGAAGTAACAAGAATGTATCGAGTTCTAGTGCGACATTTGACTTTAGCAATCACTTCCATAGCTACTTCGCTAATATAGACAGAAATGACAGTTATTGCTTAGCAAATAACTACCAAGACCTTTTTAGCATGCCTTTTTAATCATGTAAACTAGTCTCAAAGTATTTTCGAAGACTGCGTATCAGACCTGACTTTCAACGCTATCGACTGGACGACCCCTACGCACAAACACCTTAATAACTCCCACTGCTGCAAGATCGAGGCAAAGTCCTATAATTAAAATCTATTCTTTCTTTTCATTTCAATTAGTCATACAACTAACCAATAAAAACCTTAATTTCCTTTTAAATCGAAATAAACAGTCCTTTGCTAACACAAAAAACTTTAGGAAGATACTAAAGAGCAAAATTATTTCTATGTAAAAAAAATAACTGACAGCTAAATAAATCTGTATTTTTGGAGCTTTAAATACATTTAGAAATAAATTTGTAATCTATGAGGCGAAACTATTGCCGCAAAAAGCATTTAAATAAATAATTTGCTTTGCAACGAAAGAAAGCAACACACCAACTAATAATGCTGTTAAAGCTTGACAAACCTCCAACCCCGCACCACATTTCAAGGCAATCAATAGCGAAGTAGAACTGAAACAATAAAAAACCATTTGCACAATAATGAATGAGAAATAACTGAAGTTTTAAAAAAAATAAAACTAAGTTAGCAGACAACGAAAACTCAATTGAACCAGTTTCAAAAACCTGCTATTTCTTAAATTGATATATCAATAACCACATGGCAAAATACCAAACACATACCTTCCAACTAACCACGGAATGCCATGCAACAAATAACCTATGCAGCGGCAACAAAACTTAATATCCGTCCCAAGGTAAAAATAGCTTTGTGTAGCCAATAAATGGCTCAAGCGACTATCCCACAACAAAAAATCCATACAAGCTAAAAAGTGAGCACCCTTTAGAAACAGTATATCGGCGGCAAAAAATTTTCAAATGACTTCAAGCATTACTAGTCTGTATGAATCACAAATAGCCTCTACTAAAAATATTCCATTTTATTGACATGTATGTACACCGCTCTGGGTTACTAAAAGCTCCCACAAAGCTAATGGCAAACAATTTTCTCAAAAAAAACCCTTTGAAGGGTCAAAAAATGAAAGACAATCAGCTAAACAAACGAGCAGTCATCTACGATAGCCAGAAAACAACAAAGCACAATATTGCGTAACTCATATCACAAATA